AGAGATTTGTTTTCAAATTCAGGTTTCCTTAAAGCCTTGGCACAGATCAAGAGCCAGTTGCAAAAGCCAAATTGCATGTTTTAGAATTAGCCCTGTTACAAAAAAGGCAAGCCCTCCTGCCTTGCTGGCTTGCAGGCCTGCCCAGCCCTCTCCTAGCCCTGGTGGGAGTTCTGTGAGCTAGACCAAGGCCTGCAGGGCTGAAGGACAGGTTTGAGAATGGAGCTGCCAGAGTGTCTGTGGGAGCCAGGGAGGGAGTGGGTTGGGTTACCCTGAGGCAAGGTCTGGGGAGACCTCTTATCATGCTGCCAGTCACGGGCTTGCCTGTGAAGCTTACTACAAAACTAACAATCTAGAATGAAAACAGTGAGGATAAAAGTAACTTAAGCTGAGCTACTGAACCTAGCAACCTCAATACGCCTTCCTGTGTGGATGCTCTCAATGGCTGACTTCTGGATCCACTACAGAATTCTTGGCAAGTTCATGCCCCTTACCACTCCCAGTTGTGCTACTGGAACTTTCGCCACTGTGACCACCACCCTTGCCACCACCACCATCACTACCCACTATCACCATTATTTCCTCCACCACCAGTGCCACCGTCACACCAGCTCTACCACCATCTCCACCATCATCATACAGCTGGGCAGTGGCAGAGCTGGACTCAAAACCAGGTCTGGAAGCTTGTGCTTTTACAAACTTTTCTTTATCACATGAGCAGAGAACGAACGTAAAGAGCAGAGTAAAAACCTGGTGTTTCTTCTAAAAACACAGGGGGTGGAGCATGTCACAGGATATACTTCACTACTGACCATTTTTATCAAACACAGGCACTCGAGGACATGCCTTCCCCTGAGTTAGCCCTGGAAGAGTGTCCACTGGGCAGCAAAGGGCCCAGTCCTCATTCTTCTGTGAAGATGCCCACCTCACTCATTGCCAGGATGCTAGAGAGAGAGAGGAGGAAACCATCATTGACACAAACAGAATTTTAGATTTTTCAGGGAAAAGACACTTGACTTCCAAGGGGCTTTTTTTTTTTTCTTTTTTCTTTTTCAGCTGATGCCCTTTTGGGGTCCATGGAGAAATGAATAAGTAAATAAGATCCTAGAAGGAGGGAGTGAACAGAACCACATCTGAGGGTTGGCAATTTAAGACAGGCTTCTGCCTTCCTAATAAGACAGAACTTCATTTAGTTTTTAAAAAATGCTTTACACTCAGTCTCAATTACTTTTCCCAAAGAAGGGGCAATGCTTTCAAGATCTGGCAAGTAACATATTCCATTCATGTCCTCAGGACTTGGTAATTTCTGCCATGTGAAGACAGACATTCCCAGATGATCTGGAATCAGTGTAAAATTCATACACTAATGATAATGCATGCAAAATGTGCATGTTTAGCAGCATGTTAATGAATGAAAAAGTGTTGTCTGAAAATAAGTTGAGGGAATTGTTTCTTTTACTAGAAACTACTTAGAAGATAGTCTCTTTAAATCTGAGCTGTTTACAATTATTAGATTTTAAAACTTTTTTTTGTAATTTTAAATTTCAAAGCTAACTTTTCTATAAAGTTAAAATGCCACAAAAGTTATTATTTATTAATTATAAAATTAAAATATGAAGGAATATGCTAATAAAGGTAGAATCAATATAATTACATCAGGCCTGGGTAAAAAGCAATAGCTGTTTTCACATAAAACATCACCACAAAAATGTCCTAAGAGTCACTTGGTTATTTTTCAAGTTGTATGAGGTGGAGACTCAATTCACTCTTATAATAAAATTAGCTTTAAAGAAGTTACCATATATTTCTTAGAGGAAGATTCACTTGAAGTGAAACTTTGAACTTCTTAGGGTACAAATTTTATCCCTGCAATACTGCAGCAAGAGTCTTCCCTCCAAACAGGATGCACCAAGTGTTTAACACATTAATTATCATCCTTCATCAAGCATAAAACTAACAGTCAGGAAATACAGCTGCAATGGCACAATTACCAACACACTCAGAATACACCCTGAAGCAAAGAAAACAAATGGCTTGCTTTTCATTAATAGAGCTTGGCAAGCCTCTCCAAAGACAATGTTTTCTTTCCAGTCAGAGTCCCAAAAGGCATTTAAGGGGCTATTTGCTTAGGTAAACCCAGAGAACAAATTAATCGTGAAAACGTTTATTTAAATTTCAAAATAGCCATTATCAACATAAGGTACCATTCAAAAAATATACATGTTAAAAGATGAATTGATAAAATAAAAATCTGATAATATAGGACACGTATTTAAAAAAAAAACAGTGGTTTAAGAGGGTTGAGAAGTCAATATCCTCAGACTTGATCATTTTACATAAGGTATTTATGGTTTTTGTTTCCATGTTTTGTGGCAGATAATTTGATATGCATGTGCCTCTATCTATAAAATAATGAGACATGTACAACAGGATTCAATTGTGTTTTTCAGATTTTCATCCCATGAAATAATTAGCTATCAGCTTGAGATTCTAATATGTCATCACTGAAAGCCAAGATGAATAATATTCTAGAGAGATAGTAAAAGAACTGTTTATTTGGTTGGTTTCTGGACACTTATTCTTTTTTATTTTTATTTATTTATTTAGAGTACTGGGGATTGAACTCAGGGGCACTGGACCACTGAGCCACATCCCTGGCCCTATTTTGTATTTTATTTAGAGACAGTGTCTCACTGAGTTGCTTAGAGCCTCACTTTTGCTGAGGTGGGCTTTGAACTCGTGATCCTCCTGCCTCACACTCCTGAGCCACTGGGATTACAGGAGTGCACCACCATGCCTGGAGACACTTATTCTTTTTTTTTTTAACATTTATTTTTTAGGTGTAGATGGACACAACACAATGCCTGTATTTTTATGTGGTGCTAAGGATCGAACCCAGGTCCCGCCCATGCTAGGCGAGCGCTCTACCGCTGAGCCACAATCCCAGCCAGACACTTATTCTTAATATTATTATAACATCAATATACTTTAATGATGTAATGCTCCTCCTAATATATTATAATTAAACTATGAGCTATCACTTAAACCAAAACTTAAGGAAGGCTCTGGTGATATAAAAGGTAATGGAAACTCATCTGCCCAGAGTGGACTTATGACCTGAACCATGGCTGTCAACCTTTCCCTAAATTCTCTGCTCAGAGATCCTCTGATGCAATCAGGTTGGTCCTCTCTGTGGGATAAAGAGCAGGATGAAAATTGAAGAGCTGTGTTTTCCTCAGCACAGAAAGCCAAGGATATACATGTGGGTTTTTTCATTCATGTAACAGCCTCAATCTCATGAATTTATGTTGTGCTTCATATGCAACTAACTCAAATATGAAGTTCGTTGGAATTGTGTTTAGGGTAGGCACTATTTCATCTTACAGTTGGTCAATTTATGTTATGTATAGTTGACTTTCAAAAGGCAAATAACCCTGGGTATTGTAAATAAAATCAAATCTGATTCCTCAATATGCCTTATGGAAGAGTGATCCACGGGATTCTGCTCAGGCCTGTGTAAGAACTGCGAATGGCATGAGTTATCATTTTGACCCATCTGCCTTGGGGTGGATGGCTACTTTCTGAGGTGCTGAAAGCAGCAATATATTACAGAGAAGAAACACAGCCCTACCAACAACAGCAACATTGCCAGAGTAAAGACATCTGCTGCCTAACTGTGTGCAAAAAATTTGGCTATACAAGAGAGGATACATAAAATCTTTTGGTTCTCATCAGTGAGACACGGTGGTGATCCCAGCTACTCAGGAAGATGAGGCAGGAGGATTGCAAGTTTAAGGTCAGCCTCAGCAATTTAGTGAGACCCTGTTTCAAAATATAAAGAGGACTGGCAATGTAGCTCAGTGGTAGAATGCCCCTGGGTTGTTCAATCCCTAATAACACACACACACACACACACACACACACAAATGTTTCCCCTTTACATACTTATAGTTCACAGAGCCAAACAGAGCATACTCTGAATGTAATTACCACGCAGCACGTCAGCACCAATGAAAGGGTGAGGGGGGAGTAGGTGTCCTGTCTAGAGTCAGGTCAGGTATATCACACTAAGTAGACTTTCTTGTTTCCTCTTCCTGGGACCTTCATTTTAAGGGCAGGTCTTAAAGTGTTTCTGTTTCAGTACTTCAATAGATGCGGATACACTATAAACATCTCAAAATCAATGAAGCATTTTTTAAGAAAAAGCTTTTTAATGTTTTGATGTTACGGCAAGCAAGGTGATAAGACACAAATTGCCTAAAAAATTAGAAGCAAGGCAATTTCATGGTAAACTTTTCTTTCAAAGATATGATCTAGTAACAAAGCACCCACTACTCTCTTACCATTCTTAAAATCCTTTTGGAACCAAAATGCTTCCTTACCTTGATATGCATTCATCTCTAGCATCCATTAGAGAGAAAAACAATTCCGATTCAGTTTCAATACTAAGAATCAGACAGTGTGCATGCATTCCTTCTGAATTGAGAAGATCTTGTGTCTATTGTTGCTTTTTCAGTTAGAAAAATTTACCAGGCTTATGGAAAAATCCAATTCTACATTGGATGGCACTCTCAGAATTAAAAAAGGTATTTTTCAGAAGAAGGAAAAAAAGATATACCTTCTGAAGTGAGCAGATTTGAATTTAATAATTAAAAAGTAGGACTGGGGGGGTGTGTGGCTTATGGCAGAGCACTTGCTTAGCTTGTGAGAGGCTCTGGGTTCAATTCCCAGCACCATAAAATCAAATAAAGAAGAAGTAATTGAGTTTCCCACAATTCACCTCCCAGTCATGTGAGTCCCAAGGTTCATTATGTTTTAGGACTGCAGTGGGCTATCACGGTACTAACTACAGATATGGTAAAATAGACTCTGCCAGGGACCACAGTTCTCTTTAACACTTGGGGTCTTTGAATAATAAACCTCACTGTAATGGACATTGCTGGTAATATAAGCAAAACTTGATTTTTCATAAGACTCTCTGGTGGTCTGTTCAGTTTTCCTACCTTCAGTGTAGTGAATTCATAGGGCTGATAACCTTTGAAGCTCTCATGGATGGCTGCCATAGTATGGGAAGTTTTCTCCCAAAAATGAAGCAGAGTGGTCTGTCAAGAGAGATGGTAAGCTATTAATATTTCGAATGTGCAGTTCCAGTCCTGTGCCCCAGAGAAGCGTGCCATCTGTCACTTTCAAGGTCCTCTAAGATGTGATTCTGATGCTTTTCTACACTGAGTTTCCCACTCTGCCCTGGGACACCTTGCATTTCAGCCAAAGTAAATGCGTCCCTGGCTTCTGTCGCTCCCACCACCTGGGACCCTCTCTCTCCATTCTCTTTCTCATTCAATCTGTCCTCCAAAAGCCAGGGCTGGTCATGAATCTATTTTTGGGATCCCTCAAATGACTGGATTGCTCCCTCTTCAAACCCTCTTCGGCTTTTAGAACTTTTTTGTTTAGTGTCCCCTTGTTCTGTCTGACAGGCTTAGGAATTATAGTCAGACCTTACTCTCTCCACTTTTCTTCTTAAACTTTGAGTTCCTTGAGGACAAGGAACCTGGTCTTAATTAATTTTATATTCCCTGTAACACTCAGCATTCAGTCTCTCACACTCAGTTGGTGTCTACAGCACTGATGATAGACACAGATGCTATTCTGAAGGAACTCAGAGGCTATGAGGAGAGACAAAAGCAAGTATGTTGAATTATGACAACCTAAGGAGGAAAGAAGGCCATGAGACATAGAAAGGACAGGGCAAAGGGAGACCAGAGGAGGCTTACTGAAGAACTTGACGTTTGGTCCAGTACGTTGAAAAGAGCAGAATTTGGAATGGCAAAGATGGAGGGGAAAGGTGCTCTAGGCGGAAAGGACTCCCCAAGTCAATGCAGGGAAGGCGAAAATACAGTGTATGTACAAGGGAACAGCTATTATTGTACATGGTTTGGTTAAACCGTGAGATGCTAGGAAGGCAGAGGTGTTAGAAGTAAATTACGAGAAAGGCTTTCAGAACTTACTAATTCCTAAACCATACTTTGAGCTCTAACATCATTTTTCTATTGTCTTAGCCTCATGCCACTCTTTGTTCATTGAGACAGACATCACTTTGTTACCTGGTATGTTGCTAGCATGTGAGACAAGAGATTGCATCTGCTTGCTCCAAGAAGATCCACTTTTTGACACACATCCATCTTCAATTTGTCAAAATTTTTTTTTGCAAGGCGTACTTGTGTCTGTACCTATGAAAGTAAAAGGACATCTCTGAACCACTCAGACCCTCAAATAGTTAAAATTTGCAGGTGACAAAAGACCAATAGCAGGGCTTCTCTTTTTATACAAGAATATGCCTTTGAACATTCCAGACAAATGAAAAGATCCTACAACATCCATTCTTTACTTCCAAAGGCCCAAATGAGAGTACTGAACATTATAATTTTACAGCCGACTTATCATTCTTATTATGATTTTCTTAGTCTAGTGTTAAAATTTATGCCTTCTCAAGGCATTTACAAACTAATCACAGGGGGAGAAGTCCAAGGTGGCTAGGAAATAGCCCTATGGTTTTCCCATAGTACTTGGAAGCTGGGTTCCCATACATTCTTCTCTCAGCTTTCCCCAATGATAATATCTCACACAACACTTGTTAGAATAAAAGAAATTGTCACTGATACAATACTATTTACTAATTTATAGACTTTATTTGGACTTCACCTGTTTTTCCATGAATGTTCCTCTTCTGTTTCAGGAGCCAATCTAAGATATTACACTTTTGCCAAAGTTTAAAAAATTATCCTTACTGACAAACTCAATGTTTATTAATAGTAATGTACAATAACAATCTTCCACCCTTCCCTGCACCAAAGAGTAATCGGGGAGGGAGTGAAGGCCAGGAAAAGATTCACAAATGTTAATTTTCTGCATTATTTTGCAATAAAATAAAAAGCTTAAACATTTAATGCAGCTACTTGAAAAATTACAAAGTCAAAAGTTCTCCTTCCTCCAATCCAAAGTGTCAGCACATCATACTCTCACCAGGGAAAGCCAGCCAATTTTGTTTTACTGAGGTATGACTGATAAATAAGAAGCTGTAGCTATTTAATATATTCAACATGGTGAGTTAAAATATTAATTTATCTCAGGTAGTTCGTGAAGTTTAGATATAGGTGGGTAACAAAGTTGGAGGTAACACTGACTCATTGATGGTAAACCAGGTGGCATGGCCAGTATCGGTCATGCTCACCATTATACCACCTGACAAGCTGATATGAAGCAGGTACAGAGTACACACTTGTTGACAGAATGAGTAACTTTTCCAGGTCATTTCAAAGGGTTCATATTAAAGTATAATATTTGAAGTGGTTTTAGAAGTGGAATATTTGAAGTCTTTTTAAAAGTGGTGATTTTATTTTCTTAAGAAAACAAGTAGATTGTTTTTAATAGAATACAATAATTTGTGTCACTAATACAACTACCACATTCTCAGCTTATCAAAGTATAGGACATTACATAACAAGAGCAAAATTACCAATTGCTACAGCTGACTGATCACATGCATGCCAACATTATTTTATTTTGGATATTCTGACTACTTTCTCTTACTGATGAAGACAGGCTTTGCCAGGGAGGTAACTTAGGAGTAGGGCTGGCATCCTGAATCAGCCTGCCTGACTCCAATGTCATGCTACTCTGCCACTCAATCAACTTATCATTCCCTGGAAAATAAAAAAGCTTAAAATTATGATTCTACCCAAAAGCAAGTTTTCCCTGTAGGATTCTATGAAACTAGAAAATAAGGAAGGGGTACATTTAATACCATATCAATAGAATTAATATCCTATATGAATAGAAGCTGTATGAGCAGCTTCAATAGCTATATTAAGCATTTCCTAAGAATTCTTCTGTATTCTTTCCATAGATCTGGGAAGATCAGAAAACAGCAGCCATCAGCTCCTCTCCAACTGCCCACACCATGATCTCACACAATCCTGGTGCCCTATCATTCACTGCTGAAGCTTGCAGAGCTTACTCAGGAGCTCTGACTAAAAAGAGTTTAAAATGAGCTAAGTATCAGGGATTTTCAACCTTCCTTGAAAAGAATGGGGGTGGGGAGAGAAAGTCCGGTAACAGAGGGGAGGAGTGGGACTGTGAAGGGGAGGGACTTTCACATGTGCATTTGTTAAACGCTCACTCACTGAGCCTCTGTCCAGTGTCAGGAGTAGTGCTGGGCACTGGGGTGGCAAGAAAGGATTAGACATAAAACAAGTGGCCAAGAAATGTCTAGGAACAAATGCACCTTGCCATAAGGGACAGTATATTTTAAGGAAGACAGTTAAGTCAGCAACTGTAACACAACAGTGGAAATATAACAGCAGAGCTAAGAGTGAGGAATAGAGAATGATTAATGCTGGTAGAGTTGGGGTGGCATTGTAGAATGATGGCATTAAAGCCCCAACTAATGTCCTTCCCGTATCCCTACCCTTTTGCCTTGTAACTTTGTAGCCTCCTCCTCTATGGACTCTGGGCTTGATGGTGATTGGCTTTGGCTAGTGGGAGGCTAATAAAATGTAATGAAACTGGGAGCTTGAAAAAAGCTAGCATGTTTCTACTTTCTGACTTGCTTCTCTGACAGTGCCCTGAACATAAGCCCAGCTGGCCATCTGGAGGGGTGTGAGAGATGCGTGCATGCAAGAGACATGAAAAGGAGAGCCCAGCTGTAGGGGAGCCCAGCCATTATTAACAGAGCCCCTACCTGGCCCATAGCTGACCACCAACATGGAGTGCACCCATAGGAGACCAGAACTGTCCTGCTATTCCCTAGATTTGTGAGCAATAAAAAGATGCATGCTGTTTTGAGCCACTGCATATTATGGCTGCTTACCACATGGCACTGCTATAGCCAAAAATCATGGATGTAAACAGTAAGGGAACAGACAATGAAGGCTTTGGGGATGAGGGGATATCTGTGGTGGATCCTAAAGCATGGCTAGGAGGTACTCTAAGACTTGACTACTTAAATGTGGAGATTCTAGATTTTCTAACTAAATGCAAATTAACTGGCAGGGATGTGAATTTCACTTTTTCCTGTACATTAATACAATCAGTTACTCATAAAATACACTTTTATCCTAGGGCAAAAAAAAAAAAAAAAACTTCACTTGTTTATAACACAAAATTCATGTATTATTATAGTTTGAAATGTGCCCTAATTAAATTTTGATTGAATTTTGAAAGGTAGTTTAAGGAACCAAGAAGACAACTTCAACACTTGACCCAGTGAGTTCTGAAAGGCCATATGTTTTGTGTGTCAACAATGATTATTAAAATACTTAATGCACTGCTGAGTTTCCAAATGCTGAGCTCTCTCCCTGCCAAACAAGGAGGATGTTTCACTGTTGGGCATTTTGAATACGGTAAAATTTGTTTAATATTTTGTGCTCCATGTCTGTTCTATAAAACACATTTCCAGCCCGCAGCCCAAGGACAAAACACCAAGGACACCACCCAGCACAGGCCACCATCAAGAGTATAATTTCATATGCCTCCAGATGCACTTAAGTGAAAAATGTTTTGATTATTATTCCTCTCAATCCCAGATAAATTATATTCAATTACATAAACATCTTGAGGAGCTCCTGGGGTTTTCAAGGCTCTTTAAAAATTTTTTTCACTCAGATAAATGTACCCTTTGTTTATTTCTTCATTTTATTTCAGCTACCTCACCTTTCTCCTCTTATTCCCCAAACTAGGAAATGACCACGCATATTAGAGCCTCTTTACTCTGGGTCTTGCCTTCCCCAGGCCACAGAAATTCAATTTACTGGAGAAAGCAGCAATGTCTTTGACTGCCAAAACTACAGGGCACTTCTCTGTACATATTCTTCCTAACCTGAAATTCTACCTCTTAGCCCCAGCTTGAACTACACAGAGGGAAGCCAAAGGTATTCATCTTCTCAGTTCCTATCCAGTGGATAAGGTCTTCGTATTACTCTACAATCAAATAATCAGAGAGTACTTTTGCATTTTCCTTAGTGCTTATTTCCTTTAAGAACAAACTAACACAAAATAATTTTATTTTTATATCTTCTTTCAGAAGATATCTAGGATCCCTCAATCCATTCATTAGGCAAATATTTACTGAGTATATTGTTTATGCTGATAGCAACGAGCACAAATGAAGATAGTCTCTGCCATCGTGGGTCTGAAAGTCCTGTGGATATTTTGATATTTGTGCAGATATCACCACAGATTAAGTGAGATGCTTAGAAGAAAAGTCATACACTCTCACAAAATGGTTGGCTAATGATTCTGACTCAATGGATGTCTTCCAAGGACATGGTGCTCAACATGTAAGCTGAAAGACTAAGCATGATTAATGATGCCAGGGAAGAGAGAGAGAGAGAGAGAGAGAGAGAGAGAGAGAGAGAGAGAGATCGATCCAATGCACGGGGAGGGGGGGGGGGAAGCATGTGCAAAGGCCCTAGTGGAGGAGAATAGGGCAAGTCCTAGAACTGACAGTAGGTTAATGTATCTCGGTTGCTGAGAACTACAGTAGAGTGGTATGAGATGAGGCAGGAGAGGTGGGTTGGGTCACATTCTGGAGCAGGACCTTATTGGTATGCTCCGGATTTTAGTTTTGTCCTACCTAGAAAATTATTGTAGTCTTTTATTAAGCAAGGAAAAGAGAGGATTCTGTTTTCAGTTTGAAAAGATCCCTCATTGCACTGTGGAGATGAACTGGAGGAGAGAGATGAAGGTAGATAAGGAGAGATATGAAGTCAAGGGGAAAGACAATGGTGGTTATAGACTTGGGTAGTGACGCTGGATATAGAAAAGAATTCTCTCATCTGAGAGATCTTTAGGGGGTGAAATGGGAACTGGTGATGAATTAAATGTCGGAGGTTTGGAGGAGGACTCCTATGTATCTGACATTCCAAAGCCCACCTTATTGTTGAACTTGCCTCTCCTCCAGCTGATTCTACTCATACCCATTCTTGTGGCTACCCTCAGACCACAGCCGAATTCTTGGCTTGCTTTCCCAATCAACCCTCAGCATTCCTCCCTCATGAACTTGATCTGTTCATTCCTATTTTCCTATGAGGCAGCATTCTCATTCAGAAAAAATTTAAGATCATAGGAGACACCAACTACTTCCTCTGTGGTAAGGGGCCACAAGAGAAAATCTAAGGGAGCCACTCTGAAGTCACATACAAAAAAGAAGGGCAGATATGTGGCTTCATTA